GATTCATAAAAACTGGGTGTTCACCTTTAAAAGCGAGGCGCAAGTCATATATATTCCAGTGCCCCCCTATTATAGTGGTCAATGAACACCCCGAATCACCATGTAACATATAAATGTATATGTTTATAGTTATAACTCTATAATATGTATATATACCTGGATTCTCCTGAGGGTGCTTCGTGGCAACCAGTGCTCAAAGACACCCTGTTGGGGTCCCAAAATCGCAAAGAACCTCGGAGGGTCCTGTTCTATATGCACCCATGGCATGATACCTATGTTTTAGCATGGCGACAGAGAGAAGGTTGGCACAGACGTAAAAACAGCAAGAGTTCATGTTTGTCATTGGTGTCCAATGAAATCCGATCCCTAGGATCCGTGTAAACTGAGTTTTAATATGGATGTTCGATTTGTTACCAAGTAGTATATTGTTCTAAACTTTTAAGAAATGAATTCACATATTGCTGTCAGCGGTGCTGGGTAAGAGTAGAAGCAACAAGTTTCCTGGCGCATGTGACCTGAATCTGTTTGTTTGCTTGATGCATGTGTTTGCCAGTGACAAATCATCTTAAAGTGCATACTTGGGAAAAAGCAAAGCTGTGAAAAAATGCTGACAGCTATCACAAAAGAACAGTCTGTTTAGACTGGGAAGAGCTTGCGGAGGAGATAGGAAATGAACGATACTTAAAGCACATATTCAAGAATAGAAAGAGTCAGTCATAAGATGTAAAACCTTTTACTGGAGCCCATGTATATCTATGCAGTATATTATATTATGTGTTATTATGTAGTTTGTTTATGTGTTTAAACCTAGAACCAATTTGACCCCTGTTTTGAACCGGACAAAAAGGCCCCAAATCATTGGGTGGATGTTGAGCCCCCGCCTGCTCGATGGGCAAGCTCTCCAAACGAAGCTTCCGGAGACCTGCCACGAGGCCAGGCTGCCGTACGGTGCCCGGCCTTTGACAGAAACCTCTTAGTTGAGACCCCAAAGAGGAAAACACCCGACCAACCAATGGCTCGCCATGGAGCAACAAACATCAGACTCAGACCGGCAAAACCAGCTCCCCTTCTTGTGGTTCCAACCAACACCTGACCCTGGTTCAGACCCACTCGCTGCGGGAGTACCGCCCCACCTTCAGAGTGCAGCCCTGGATCCTCGAACACATGGGATCGGACGATTCGTGCGGCGGACCTGGGCGACAGGCCCTTTTCGGTCCGGCAGTTGTGGGGGTGTCTGATTTCAAATTGATTGGTGGGAGGTGAAACAGTATCAACCCAGATAGATATACGGAGTGGTCCCGTTCCCAATCCCTACGGAATTTGGGGACCAGTCGGCCTGAGTTTGGAGCGTCTGGGAACTCACACATCCCGCTTTTCAAGTGGTGTCTACAGTACCAGCCCTCTACAGTACCAGTCTCAGAGTCGGTGAACCTCCTCAAACAGCTGGCGGCAAGGTCCAACAAACGGCGGCAGTTCTTGGACCAGTTCCACCGATGTCGGTGGCAGGGTCCACTCGTGTGTGTTCGCCCGCCAGATGAGGGGCTGCAGGGTCCTCATCGAGATCGATGGGCTGTAAGGCCAAGGGCTTCACGTGGCCCTGGCATTCGACTCAAAATTCTACTTCATCTTGCTCAACTACCAGGACCCTCCAAGGTTCGGCTGTGTCTTGGGACAAGGTTCGGTGCTTTCTGGGCACCGGTTGTTAAAGGGTCTCGGAATGTGTCAGAATGTTCTAGTAGATCACTGACTCAAAAAAAGACTTGGACATCCTGGGAGTCCTCCATAGTTCGAACATATTCGAACTAAGATTCCTGTGAAAACAATGCCTCTTCCTCTTCAACAACCACATGAATGAAGAACTGCATCATCTGCATCATCTCATTTGCTATTTTCAACGCCCAAACAGACACGGCAAGATGCCTGCATCAGCTTCGGCGAGGAGCGCCTCAGCACAGAAAGAAGAAACAATTCATCCAGGGTGGTTCATGGACACTGCTTGACCTCTTTTCGGGACGATCAATGGACACCCTGGAAGGACACGTGGCGCTGGGTGCAGATTCCAAGTGCCATTGACCCAAGTGCCCGAAAACGGGCCTGGAAGGCTTGGTGTAGGGGATGGTCAATCATTCAATCAAAAGATCCTAAGAAATGTCCTATGAGATCCTGTGAGATCCTATATGTTGACTCATTTTCACTCGGTTCCTAAAGGCTGTCCACCCTTGGTTCCCTGGCTCGTTCAGGCTAAAGCTGGCATCCCCCAAATCCTGGCGCAGCGAAGCTAACGACGAAGACGAACGATCGCTGGCATCCTTCACTTCGCATTCGTTCCCGCAAAGTCCTCCTTGTTTTCAGCCTCAGATCGACAGATCGACATCTCTTTTCAGCACATCTCCCAATTTCTGTCCCAAACATCTAGGCCGAGGCTGGGGCTTTGCTCCTGAGAAGCTTCTGACGCATCCTCAGCAAAATGATGGAAGAACGCCTTCGAACATCTTTGAACCACTGAGTTGCTTCCCCTCTGTCCCTGCCAAAAAGTCGGATCTGACCAACTGACCTCAGAATCCACCCTTTTTCGGACGACCTAACTGACAGGTTCCTAACAAAAGCCTCTGCACCAAGCCCAAGCTACTCATCTATTCTCTCTCTTGCGGAGTTCCCAACATCCCCCGGCTGCCCCAAGGACCCGCTACTCACATCGACCCGCTACTCCTCGTTCGTTCTACTCCTCCTCCCCTCTTGTCCGAGGAACTGCGACAGAAAGCTGAGATCTGTGGATTGCGTGGGAGTGGCGAAGCCCGTGTTCAGCGGGTGATGCATCTCCTCGGGCGGAGCCAGCGGTGTCACGTGGCGCAGTTGGGAGCGCAGTCCCTTTAAGGAACTACAACGAAACACGACAGGAACTCGAAGCCCTGAAGCCATCCCCAGGCAAAGACGACAAATGGTTTGACCCTTCATGAAGTTTCTGAGATTGGGCACAAATATAAATGGTCTCTCAAAGGACCAGGCATGACGACCTGTGAAAAAGGGGGGTTCGTTTTTCTTTACAGGTTTTGCAAATGTCTGCTGGATTCCCCGTTTTTTCTGAATTCCTACAGACCAGGCCGCCCTGTGACACTTAATATAGGGCAAAACGTGTGCTGCGACGTGCCGAGGATGTCTCGCCTCCTTCAGCTCGTTGAAGATGTCTTCGCCTCGCCCAGAGCTTGGGAGAACGACCCGTGCGGGCGAAATAGATGGGACGTCGGACGCCACGCGAGTGGAATGGTTTAGAGAGGTAGCCAGTGACCTTGGTAGGTCCTTCAACCTCTGAAGCCCTCCAGTGTGGCCTAAGCGCCCTCCCAGCTCCACAACTCGGCTAGGATTCCGTGCCACAGCTCCTGCTGCCATGCCGGAAATCCTGAGCGAAGCCGAGCACCAGAGCACCAGAGCAATAGGCGATCCCCTTTGAAATGCATATGGGTACCTTGGTAGGTGGGGGTCTATATCAAATCATGCCCCCAGCTCACGCTATATAGAATCAAAGCCCCTTTGTTGTGAAGTGAAAACTCACAGAAATTATATATGAACTATTCAACACTGAAGAATCACAACCCCCATCTCACAGACTGAATCAATCCTTACACTATTATATGTTCAAAGAACTCTGATTCTATAGTGATCCGATGTGTTTTCGAAGAATGTTTCCGACAACATCCAGCAATGTCTTTCGGACGATGTGTGATTTCTGCTGATGTCCATTTTTCTTTCCGCTCTGGCCTGCCTGTTCATTTTGTTTGTTGCTTGCTTGTTCATTGCCTCATGAGCCCTGCACGGGAAAGTTGAAGGACCACAAAGTTGATAAAATGAGAGCAAAGTTGAAAGACCACAACTGTTGACGGAACGGAATTGTCCAGCACTGATGCTGATCGCTCCGCAAAAAAACGGCCGACCTGTCATCAAGAGTATGGGGTCTCGAACCAAAGTCGAACGGAGGAAAAGCGGCGTTCTCCATTTGCTCCATCATGTTCCATCTCCCGTCTGCTTGACAGAAAAACGTCCGCCCAAACCGTCTCCGAATCATCTCCCACCGTGATGAGGGCGGACTGTTCCGTTCGTGCTGAGCACTCCACTGGGTGGTTCGCCGTTCGGGGCACTCCGTCTGGCCACTGGAAGCTGAAGAGATCATCATCCTGTCGACGGATGTGACGGACCACGTTGCGGGATGGGAGCACCAGATCCTACTCCTCGTGTTCACTCAAAGCACCAGGTCCTGGTGGCTTAAGTTCCGGCATTGGGAATTGGCGAATGACCAACATTGATAGATCACTGCAAAAGGCCAAAAAACAATATATCTGCTTTGATTTGAAAGCGCGGACGCGCGCGGACGCAGTGAAGGCCACTTTTCATCCGCAGCTCAAGTCCGCAGCCCTCGGCACCACGGCGGCCAGTCTCAGATTCAACGCCTCGGTGCACCTCCGTGGTCCTCGTCCTCCACAGCGTCGCAGTGGCCGCTTCTCGATGGCGCCCGGCGCACCCCCAGCGCTGGTCGCGGCCGAGGCATCTCGTCGCCCTAGTCGCTGAAGGCCAAGAATCCTCGCCGAAGGCCAGGACGTCGCTCGGAACTGCCGTTGGACGTAGGGGTGAAGGCCAGGACGCTGGGACCCAGACGATGGTTGAAGCTTCGGCTTTCACATGGGAAAAACAAAGGCAGAAAAAGAGACAGATTCGATCGACCGGGAATGTCCGTTCTGGGTATCCTGGCGGGAGATTACTAAGTAGTGGGCTAGGTACTCCGAGGACACCAAGACAGGATGCTCCTAGTATTTATCACCAGGTTTACATCAACCGCACTACGCCGGTCTCCCCCCTCGCACCTTGACTGGCCCTCTTGTAGAAGTAGTAGGGAGCATCTGTCCAGGCATTCAATGCCAATAAGTCCGCAGAAAGCTCATCCACACCACCCTGACGAAATCCAATCCATTCATTCGCCCCTTGTGACTTCGGGTGTTGAACCCCTTAGCCACTAAGGAGTTACGTCAAATATGTGCATCCGAACGCAGTGAACCAACTTCTCTCCCTATTCCCCAGTCTTTGCAAAGACCCCTTAGCTGAAGAAAGACTTGAGAAAACCAAAGTAGAAGCCATGGAAACAGTGACAAAATTGCAAGACATCAACCAGCACCATGAAAAGGTTTATAGACACCCGTGTACGCTGCTGCATTTTCCTTCCAATCACCACCCTTTCTGTGGTGCTGGCTTTTCAATATTAATTTACAGCAAAAAATGATGCATGGAAAAGCACATACCACAAAAGTTATCGAAAACCCTTCAAAAAAAGAACACACACACACAACCTCGTCCGGATTGAAGTTGTTCCCTTGCAGCTGGGCGAATCGAAGATACTTGATGAGCATCTTCCGTTGGGTCACACCACGGAGTGCTTCGCAAAGTTCTAGAATCTCGTTCCGCGTAAAGTGGGAGTCGTTGGTGCCAAGCACCAGTACCTCATCAACCCATATTTTTGTTCTCCTACGAGCGTGTTCGCAGGATGTACGATCCTCTGGTTGAATTGGAAAATGCTTCGGATACATTCACTCAAGAGATCCCAAGGGACCAGGTGGGATGATTTGCAAGAGTGACCCGAGGCAGCTTTACTTCAGTGGTCTTCAGTGGTACAGTTGGAGTCACTGGATCTTGACCAGCCATCCCAAATCTCCGATGATCTGCGTGTCCCCAGGTGCCCAGCCGCGTTGAGGTGTGTCTTTTGAAGAGGAAGCCTGTCATGAATACCCTCCCCCATCCTCCCCCCAACAACCATGGAAGGGGAGTAACCCGGCCCCTCTTAGGGGACAATTAGAGGAAAATAGTCTTCCAAGGGGGCCATTGTCATCCATTGACCACTTCCAGGATTGCTGGAGGGGGTTGCTGCCCCTGAGCTGCCACTTTCAGAGCTCCACGTGATGACGGCAGGTTCCGGACGACTGAAGTGGCCCATCCTTTCCACACTTGGAAGAGCTCTGAGCGCGAGAGAGACGCGAAGGAGAGACGGACGCAGTGATGTTGCACACAGCTTTGACAGTGACCCTCTAAGAGATGCCAGTCAGTGAGCTCCTCACAAGGCAAGAACAAGACTGAAGCCTCAGCACCCATGGGAGTCGCAGCATCCAAAGGCTCTGTTCAATATCCTTGGATCAGACCCATCGTGTAGCACTTGAGCCAAGTCTGGTCAAGACCTAGCACGCCTTCTGTTGTAAAGAAGACCCCGGGGGCCCCCCCACATTGAAGTTCATAAAAGCAATCAATGTTTTTCTGTATAAAAGAAATCCTTCGCGTCCTGCTTCCAAGTGTCTCCCCTTTTTGTCACCTACTTCCAAACCACCCAACCACCCAACCACCCACCCCACCTCAACAATGTCACTCATGTGCCGCATCGCCTGGCTGGGTTCCAGCTCGGCTCCGTTGTCCGAACACCCGAACGAACGAAGGCCCCGGCCTGGCTGGATTCCAGGTCCCTGTCGAGTGGAGAGGGTTCCCCAACAGCGCTGACCTTCTCAGTGCTCCCTCAGATAGTGCACCCTCAGATTAGAGGATTTGCACGGGTCTGTTCATTCCCTAGCACCTTCCCTACTAAGCTATAGCACCATTGGAACCTCCAAGCATTGGAGCCTCCAAACTGGAGACCGCTCCTGCATCAATGGCTGGTAGATGTATATCACATCCCTGATCAGGAGAGCAGATGTGTTATTTTCCCCATGGGCCCCATGTCCAGCTGGCACTTGCCTATAGGTGAGTTCTATTCTTTGTTGCTTGCAAGGCTGCTTGCGGCTGTATCTCTTCTGCCAAGGCCTCCTGCGTGATGTCCTTCGATCCAGAACCCACCTGCACCTTCCGAGTGCGAGAAAAGCAGACGCTCAGCGTAGGCATTCGATGTTTAGAGAGACGTGGATTGGTTCGATCGGTGAACACGGAGGAAACCTGCGGGAAAACAGCATCGCCGGCTTGATTGCCACCGAGAGATCGTCTCTGAAAACAACAGCGATGAAACGAGAAGACGATCGTCAAGACCAATACATCCACTCTTTGTCCCAGATCCCCACTCACGTGCTCCTGCCTGTTCTTCTTCCCCCCTGCCATTCGTCTTTTTTTCTGGGCACTCCCCCGAAAAAAGAGACTACGACACCTGGAAGGTAGAACGAAGGGGTGGCACCCCGCCTTTGGCCGCGTGGGATCTGGTGCTCTCTCCAACCTCACACCACAGCGGCGCCACGGCGCGGGACGTGGCGCCCCTTACATGGCGCGGGACATGTGACGGTTAGAGACTCAGTCACGACGATGCAAGGAAACCCAAGAAGAACGAACACGACAAAACATGAGATGACCGGCACCACATTCGGTGTGGCATTCAACTCAACAACATGCGTTCATTGCTACAATAGCTTTAGCTAGGGGGTGAATTTGCGTTTGGGAACGAACATGCATATTGAGGTGTGTCTGACGATATTTCTCATGATCGTATCATTTGCATCACTAGGCCCATGAAAGGCAAACAAATGACTCCTCTCAGCAGTCTATGTCTTAGTATTGCCTTTCATGTTCTTGCATCCTTTGCAACAGCTGGTTCCAATTCTTTAGTGCATGACGGTTGCAGACACCTGCCACCGGTTGGTTGCACATGGCACTTGGTTCTGTGTCATGATTGGACCGAACACATGGGAGTCAGGGAGTTGAAACATATACCCAGCTGCTAACAACGTTGGTCCAAGAGGATCCAAGCCATAGGGTGAATATGGAGAGACATGGAGAGCCTTTTTTGGAAATGGTCAGAGGGTCAACAAAAGGAGGGCGATGATAGGTCACGTGTTTATATTAAATTCATCCCATGCTGTGTTCATCTCTAAGTTGTGTGTCGATCATGCACATTGTAAAGTTCATTGTATTATTCACTCTGCTTTTCGACCCCCTTGAAATTGTACACGTTTCAAGCTGTCCAAGTTATATTCATTTGCAGGCACTGTTGGATATACAGTAATTTGGACCCCTGAAAAATGGACTATGTCAAGGGGCTGAAGACATTACTAGACAACTCTTAAAGGTGTCCAAAAATAGTGATTATAGATTCTAATCCACTTCATGTTCTTGTCTCGATCATACACATTGTCATTGTCACGTTGCATAGTTTATTGTGTACACAATCACTCCATGCTTCGACCCTCTTGAAAAATGTACAATTTCAAGCGGGTCAAAAAAAAATAGATCCAACAATGCTTGCAAAATGCAAGTAAGACACAACTAAACCATGTATCAATGGGTCCAAAAATAGAGAGATTTTATATACTTCTTCTACCTCTGAGAGCCACGAATGTGCTTGTGCGGGTGTTGTCGCGAAGCCAAAACGACCAACACAGAGCACCAACCAAAAGAGAGGGCCAACGAGACAAGAATCCGACACCAACATATCCCCAAGGACAAGAAGGAACAGACTTCACCAAAAGACTGAAAGGCCTAAGGAATCACCCCAACCCCCAAAAACCCAGTGACGAAGCATCGAAGGTCAGGACCAACAGAGGAAACATGAAGCTTTCACCTTCCAACTCTTCCCATTCTCTCGGCCACCCCGACGCTTTGGGTTTCTTGCCCCGGTCGTCTCGCCTCGGGAGGACGAACCGCAACCCGCGACCGGTCGACCGGTCGACCGCGACGGACAGGCGCCACAGCGCTGAGGCCGCCGCGGAAGCATGTTCGCCTGAGAGACATGCTTCAAAACATCCGCGGTTGTGGGGTCTTCAGAGGTCTTCAGTTCCACTTGACTTCACTTCAGGTGGTTCCCCTCCATCCCGAACCAAACCGCTGCCCACGGTGCCAGAATTTCACGAGTGACGCGGTCCGAGAGGTCCGAGAGATCGTACCATCGCGATGTCCCGGACATTTCGCCACCAGCAACATCCAGGACCCCCAAAGGGGTGGTTAATGGACACCCCGAATCACCTCTAAGGGGCTATTAATGGACACCCGAAATCCGTGGTGCTGGATTGAGATGCACTAACGTGCACGCTCTTCGCCACCAGCAACACCATGTCAGGCAGAGTCTTTCGCCGACGTGCTCAGTCCCGTCAGGTCCCCCCGCCTCGGGGGGGGGGGGCTTCGGAGCTGTCCCGCGCCAGCTTGACTCGGAGGGCAAGAAGAGATGGTCCAACGGAAGGCGTGTTCCGGGCATGGAGGTGCTGAGGGTCTGGAACTCGTGAAGAGTGGAAAATGAAGGGACTCCAGCACCTGTAGAGGTACGGCATTGGGTACAGCATTGACTTACTTGACTTTCAAGCTAGTTCGAGGTCTGGGACCGCTAGCTAAGCTGGTATAGAACTGCCTGGAACCCAACTGACCGGTGTTTTGATAGGAAAAGGCCATATTTTGGGTGGTTGGTGGTCCAAAATAGAGGTCATTCAGGTTCTAGGTGCAGTATATAATATGTTCCTTCCAATAACCACACAAACTGGGTGGTGCTGGTACCTGCCACCTGACGAGGGGCGGGCTCACACGGCTTTCCAAAGACGGCGGAAATGCGTAGAACATCTGTACAAGTAGATCAACTTCCACTAAGAAAAAAGAACGAACCAAAACCCATTCACTCACACAGTCGAGTCCCCTCTTGATGGGTTGGACTAGGAGGGGACCCTTGATTTGACCAAACTTCGACATGCACCCAGACCTCCTGAGTCACTTTACCCCGCCTGGAAGCCACCACCCACCACTACCAGGCCGTGGTCAAATGAGTACTGGACTCTCAAGATTGTCTTGGCAGTGCTATCCCTCGGATCGCGATCGATTCGGTCCGCTGAGGGCACGGCATCTTCTGGAAATCAGGCCACCTGGGTCGAAGAGCTCCGAAGATGCCGTAGTGAGCAGATTAGACCCCTTCCTATAGAAACCACACAGCACGTCATACAGCACGTTTTTTTCCGTGTCAGAACAAGAAAGCCAGATCGAAATGGAGTAGTTCAATGCAATTTTGTGATGTCTTCGCTGCATGTGGGAGTTGATCTAAATTCCTTTATCCGGGATCCGTCATTTTCGCCAAAAAAATTACTTTAGCCAAACTTTCGTCTTCCTGCGTTCTATCTTTCGCCGGAGTACGTTGTATTTATGTGCGCCATGTATGTTGTGTTTTGTTCACGTCAATGGCTTCTTCTTTACTGGCAAACACAAAATAGACACTTCACTGTTTGTTTGTCAGCATGTGTCTTCTACTTAACTGTTGACACCCTGTACGTCTCTTTTGTTTCTCCTGGGTGTCAGCAAGAATCAAAATTGCAAGAATCACTGTAGTAGCCGGTCACTCAAACTTACTCATAATGGGCTGGGGGTCAGATGTGGCAGGGTGAACTTCCGCCAATCTTGAGCTGAACTTTCGCCAAACTTTCGCCTTTTGCGGGGTAGAGTTTTGTGGCAAAGCCAACCCCCCAAAGCAGGAGCAGGAATAGTAGTAGTAGTAGTAGTAGTGGTGGTAGTGGTGGTAGTGGTAGTGGTAGTGGTAGTGGTAGTGGTAGTGGTAGTGGTA